AAAAAAAAAAAAATTAACATTAAATTAATATCAAAATAATATATGGCGTTTAAAATTAAAATGCAGTGAATCTTTTATGTATGTGTTTTTGTGCGTTTTCATCTGTGTGTGTTTGTTTGTGTGTGTGTGTGTGTTTGTGTGTAAAATGGCACTCTCTTCATCTTCCCACTGCCCAAATGTGGCCACTTTAAGCATTCTTCTAAAATGCATATTCATGTTTCTAAATAATAACTCTGTTTGTATTAATTACTTAACCATTTACTACTATGAGAGATGAGAATTTTCATCAACTCCAGCCCATATATTCACACCCACACCCACAGGTATTCATACATACACAGACATACACACAGAGACACACAAACTCACACATTTCCCCTCACCCCATTTTCTAGTATATATGTAGACTACAAGTTTAGGTCATAGTTTACATCATTCTGACTACATAAAAATTCTTCCTTCATAAGTCAACTCTAATTACATTTTATATATGGTATTTTCTTGAGCTTAATCTGTCTTTTTATTTCAATTCATAATTTTCTATCTCCCAACTTAGAATTATTTCCAAGTGCTGAGGTAGATGTTTGAAACTCCTGGTAATAATTTCCCAGTTATTGGGAAACCTCATAAAATCCATCGCTTCTCTTTTGTTCTTGGTCTCTGTTCTCACACCTGCTTTGTCCACCTGGTCCTTTCTGAGGTGGGTGTTTTCTAGGCCTGGTGCCCAGCAGCCTCCCTGAGAGTCTCATTCTCCTACATGAGGCCTCCTGATTCTTGCAGCCCATGACTTCCTCTGACTTGGTTTCAGACATTTGGGTGGAGCAAATCTTGCAGTATTTTTTAGCAAAAGTAAAAAAAAAAGGAGGTAATAATTTTGGTAAATGTGCAGGTCAGAAAATACTTTCATTCACAGTACACATGGCAGTGGTTACTCTTGAGAATTCTGGTACTGTCTGAATCCTAATCTTTATGCATGACATAACACATCTCTCTGAAAATTTTTAGGATTTTACTTTAATTCTCATGTTCTGAAATTCTATGACCCTATGTCTTGGGGAGCATATTTTTATCGCACTCAATGTGCTGGAATTGCACAATAATTTTCTATTTAGATGGAAAAATACCAAGATCTCTTATTCACTCTTGGAAGGATAAGTCCGGCTGCTGAATTTCCAGAAGGGAGATGGAGGGAAAAGCTAAGAGCCTCGGAATTCAAGCACAGGACTCTTACCAAACCTTCCTTTCCAGCCCACACCTCACTGTTTCCTCTCACTGCCCAGTGTCCCTGAGTATAGGGCTTCTTAAGCTCAGTTTCTCTAGAGAATGAGCCTCCATTTTCCTGTAGGAAAAAATCAGTTACCGGATACAAGGAGTCATGGAGGGAACTTGGACAGGAAGAGCCTCATTCTCTACCTTCTCTAACACTTGCTGCTTCCAAATATGAAAACTTATAGGGTTATGAGGAGAGAGATTAGCTATTCTTCCTCGATATATCTTCCTCTTGTGACATTTAGGTTACAACTTCATCCTGTCTTGAGTTAATTGTCGCTCTTTGATCTGTTCTCTGTGAAGACAGCAGCTGCTGGCACAGGCATTGAAATAATGAAGTTTCTCTAAAAGAAACAGGATGGAGGAAACTAACAGTGTTTTCCCAACATCTTTGCTGAAGTTCACTCTGCTCATCACCTGTCATCATACCTCTGACCTCTGGGTGCTTCAGCAAGAGCAGGAGTCCATATCTCAGATCGGTGCTTCTGGTCTCTGTGCCAGCAACAAATAAATCACGTGCAATGGTTACCAAGTTTTCAATAGTAAATTCAGACTGCTTAATGTGCTTTTCCTAGAAATGATTTGATACATTATCTGACAAATAATTTATTAATGTATTTACTTACAGTGAATTCAAAATAGCACACTTTGTTATAAAGTTAGCAAACACAGAAACTGGGGAGTGTAGTATCAGGAAAAACTACTCTATAGTATGGCATAGAAAGTAGATCAGTTAACCCAAACTTTATTTCCTACCACCTTCTTCCACGCATGCCAAAAAATTCCATTCATGAGACTCTTCAAAGCCAGGTGTGCCATGCAGCATATTTCTTTCCAAAAACACATAAGCAGAAGCCTATTGGTGTCCTGCCTTAGTCTGTTTGTTTTGCTATAACAGAGAATCAGAGACCGGGTAAAGTATTTTAGTAAAATAAATATACTTTTCATTGTTCTCGAGGCTGGGAAGTCCAAGAGCATGATGCTAGCCTCTGGTGAAGGCCTCTGTGCTACATCACACCACGGTGGAAGGTGGAAGAGCAAAGAGGGTGGGATCAAGAAAGGTCAACATGGGGCTGAGCTCACTTTAACAACAAATCCACTCCCGCAATAATGACATTAACCCGTTTATGAGGACAGAGCTCTCATGAACTGATCACCACTTACTTATTAGTCTCCACTTCCCAACACTGTTCATTTGGGAATTAGGTTTACAAACACAAATTTTGGGAAACACATTTAAACTATAACACTTCATGCCTAGCCCCCCCAAATGTATGCCCTTCTCACAATGAAAAATATATTTATTCTTTCCCAACAATCCAAAAAGTCATAGTCCCAAGTCCAGACTTGTCTATATCAGATGTGTATGAGACTCAAGGAACAATTCATCCTGAGGCAAATTCCTCTTCAGCTTTAGATCAACAGAGTTAATAAGTTATGTGCTTCCAAAATATAATGGAGGGACAGACATAGGATAAACATTTCCATTCTAAAAGGGAGAAACAGCCAATGAGAAAGGGTTAGCTATTTCCAAAGAAGTCCAAAACCCAATGGGGAAAACTGCAGTAGGATCTAAAGCTGTAGAGTAATCTCCTTTAACACCACATCTCACATCCTGGGCACAGTTGGGCAAGGGTAGGGCCCCCAAGGATTCAGGCAGCTCCACTCCTATTTCTTTGCTAGGCTCAGTGCCAGCAGCTTTCACAGGTTGTGGTATCCTACCTGCAGATTTCCAAGCCTAGATTGGTAGCCCTACATTCCTGGATAGTGGACTTGGGAGTGGCTCCATTCACATGGCTCCACTAGGCATTACTCTTGCAGGGAGTCTCTGCTATGGCTTGACCCCTGCTACATGTCTCTACCTGAGTGCATGGGCTGTCCATAACATCTTTTCAAATCTGGGTGGAGGCTGCCGTGGCCCCATAGCTGGTGCATTCTGCATGTCTGCAGAGTCAGCATCATGTAAATTCTGCCAAACTTTATGGCTCCTTGGTGTGACACGTAATCTGCACCTGGGCCTACTTTTGTCAAGGCTGTGGTAGATGAGGAGCACCACACCAGAATTTAGGGAATATGAACTCAATGTGGCACAGGACAGCAAATATTGAGCTTCCACTGCCATCTCTCTGAAAATGTTAACCTCAAGGTCCTAGCTTGCCTCAAAAATCTATGAAATGTCTTAAGACACAACTCTGATTTTTTGAAGACAAAGCTTCCTGTTGCCCAGCTTGGGATGAGCAAGTTCCACAACAGCACATCAGCACAGTACACTGTTCCCCAAACTGCCTGTCATGGAGCTTGTGTATGCGGAATGTTAGCCTCTATGTGAGATGCCACATTTACTTAAATTTACCAGACACTTTTTTCATCAAGCACTCCCCTGGATGCTTGACCAGACTCTGGATTCCCATAATAGTTTCATCAGACAGATGATGCAGGGTCAAGGATTGGTAGCAAAAAGGATGGCCATTGTGTCAATCCCCACAGGCTACAGCAATTTCCACAGTGACAATGGATGAGAGGATTTCAAAACACAAAATTAAAAAAAAGAAAATATGACTATTTTTCTTTCTTTTATTCTAAAAACTTAAGGAAACCTGTCAGGTCACTGAATGATTGCAGACATAACAGAAAAGAGATTGAAGTGATCAAGTCTTTGCCAAATTAATTTGGAAAGTCACTAAATAAAGGGATGACTGCAGACTATATCAAGTAACAATGGCAATTGTTAGAGAAGAGAGAAAATCTTATTCCCAGAGTTAATACATTATAATATATTAAATCCAGTTCTCAACAAAAAATTACACACCATACCAATAAACAAGGAATATGGCCTATTAACAGTTTTTAAAAAAGTATTTGAAAGAAACCATTCCTGCAGAAGCTCAGCATTATACTTACTAAGTGAAACCTCTAATTCAAATACTGTAAATTTTCTAGGAAAGTTGAAAGAAACCATATACAAAGAACTAAAGGATATCAGGAAAACAATTTTGAAAAAGTTGGGAATATCAATAATAGGAAAGAAATTATTAATTAAAAAAATAAAAATTTTGGAGTGAAAAGACAATAGTTTAAAAAACAATTCACCAAAGTGATTTAACAGCACGCTTCAGTAGGCAGAAGAAATAAATAGCATACATGGCAGGACAACAGAAATTATGCAGATAGAGTAGCAGAAAAACAAAAAGGAACAAAGAAAAATGAGCAAAGACTAAGGAGCCTATGAAATTCCATCACATCTACCAATATACACACCATGGGAGCTCCTGAAAGAGTAGAGAGAAAAGGGATTGAAAATATCTGAAGAAACAAAAGCTTAAAACTTTCCAAATATGATGAAAGACATGAATCTACACAACTAGGGAGCTCAATAAATTCCCAAAATGGTAAAACCAAGGAGACTCATAACAAGCCATGGTTTGATTAAAATGTCCAAAATCAAGGGCAAAGAGAAAATGTTGAATGCAGCAAGAAAGAAGTGACTCATAACATACAAAGGATCCTCAATAAGAGTAAGAATTGATTTTTCTTCAGAAACTATAGAGTCAAAAAATCATAAGAATGATATATTTAAAGTGCTGACAGAAAAAACTGTCAACTAAGAATCCTATATCTTGCAAACATATCCTTACATAATAAAGAAGAAATTAAGATGTTCCAATATAAAACCAGAGGCAAGAAGATTCCTCCCAGGAAGGTCTGCCCTACAAGAAATGCTAAAGGGACTCAGCTTTCATGCTGAAAAACGTGACAGTAGAAGATAAATAAAAACCATTGTAAGAACTAAAAATCCTTTTAATTATGAAATATTAAAGATACCTATATACAGGAAATATAAAAGCTTATATTGTTATGATTTTGTATGTGATCTTTTTATTTTTCTATGATTTTTAAAAATGCATAAAACAATTATTATATAACTATTACTGGGGCACAAGTTACAAAGATGTAATTTGTGATGACTACAACATAAAGGGAGAATTGAGTTGCATTGAAGCAGAGTTAATGTATATAATTTAAAGATAATTTGCTATTAATTAAAACTAGATTATTATAAATTCAGGATGTAAATATAACCCTCATGATAACTAGATAACATGATAAAAGAAAATTAAAATATTCAAGGAAAGAAATCAAGAATGAATCAAAAAAGTTTTCTAGAAAAAAACTGATCACACAAAAAGTAAAGCAATATTGGAAAATTAAAAGGCAAAATTATGTCAGGCACATAGAAACAACATAGCTCAAATAAGTTTTTCAATATTACTAATAAATTTAACTGCACGTAGCTTAAACTTACCATTTAAAATGCACGTATTGAGAGAAAAGATTTAAAAAATAAAACACCTATGTACTGTCTATACATGACTAACTTCATATCCAAAGATACAAAAGGTCAAAAGTGAAAAAATGGAAAATTTTTTGCAGGTTAATTATAACTAAAGAGAGCTGGGATGGCTATACTAACATCAAACAGAGAGATATTAAGCAAAAATTGTTAAAAGAACCAAAGACATTTTATATTGGAAAAATGGTGAATTCGTCAAGAAGATATAACATTATAAATGTATATGTATCAATCAAGAGAGCCCCAAAATATATAAAGCAAATAATGGACTGTATTGAGGGGACAAGTAGAGAGTTATAGAAAAATAGTGGGAGACTTGAATACCCAATTTTTAATAATGGCTAGACTATCTAGACAAAACATCGATAAGGAAATATAAGATCTGATCAATACCAGATTTCAACCGTACCTCTAATCAACACTATAACTTAACAATCTAGGAACTACCAAAAAAAAAAAAAAA